TGGGAAGGGCGGGACTTTACATACATCACAGTCTCCTTTAACAAATCATCATACACCGCGGGAAAGTCAACAACAACTCCTAAACATGATTAGTTCATTCATTGGCGGGAACAGGTCGGGCGGGGGTGATAGGTCAGTTCTAAAGCAGGGTACATATTCAAACTGATTGGTCCAGGCCCTGTGATGCCTACGTGCAAGGCCACACAGGGCCCTTAAGTTATTAAACAACCAGGCGGTCAGGGGAAATATTTACTGGGAGGTTCCAAGCATTGTCTTAACAGCTACAGGAATTTCAGGTTTTGCATGTAGCATAGGAACTTAACAATACCTGGTCCTTTACATTTTAACTCAGGCCTTGCAGCTTAGAAACTTTACAATGCCCGGTCTTTTACACTTTAACTTCAATTTCTTTTACCCTTACAATTTAGCTCCTAAGATTGCTTCCACATCAAATAGATGTAATACTTTTGTAAAATGTAAAGCACTATATAAATATAGCTGTTATTAAACACAATCCCTAAGAAACTGAGAAGTGTGCAGTTATTCTGTTTACATCACAGAGGCTTAATGCCAGAAAGAGAAATGCAGAGAAGCAGATTTCAGTAATACTGCAGTAAAGTATACAACGAGGACAGTAAAAGGAGAAGCAAAATAAGATAATTGTTCTTTACTGCCCCACTGCAAATAGTTTAAAAAACTCACCACATATAACAGTTAATATGTACTAAGTATATCAACCCTATGGCAGAGTGCTGTGTGTGTGTGTGTGTGTGTGTGTATGTCTATTACAGTCTCTTCTTTAACATGTTTCTTTAAAATGACAATTTATTCACATGTAGTAGATAAAAAAAATAATAAAATTGCCAAAATGAGACTTTGTGATCCTCCTCCTCCTCCTCCTCCACACTGGGAATTAAACCTAGGAGTGCTCTATCATTGAGCTATATCCTTAGGCCTTTTTATTTTTTATTGAGATAAGGTCTTGCTATAAGTTGCCTAGGCTGGTCTGGAACCTCAATTGAGATTTTCCTGCTTCAGCCTCCCGAGTAGCTGGGATTACCCAATCGAGAAGTGATTTTTCTAGAGATGACTATGCTTTGCATTACTATGAAACATGGAAATTACTACTGATTGAATACTTGACCATGCCATCTTCTTATTCTTACCCCACTACATCTGCAAGCATTGAACTAAGAATGTGTACACTGTTCTAGTTTGTGTTTATTTTGTGATTGAGCACATGTCCTATGTGTAAGTATCCTGGTTATAAGAATCTCAAGTAGTGAATAAAAAAAAAGGCCTTCCATTTTAAGGTGAAATTGAAATAATGAAAAAATTTGAAATAAATGAGAAAATGTGTGGACCCGAAGGAATTCACATTACACACATTTAGGAACAAAGATGAGAAAAAATGGGGCCGAGCTTGTGCACCACATTTAACTGCCTCTACTGGAACTGAAAAACATTTGGAAGAAATTGAACATAAAGACTGTAATATGGAGTGAAACTGATAGCAGTTTGTGGCCTAGGCTAATTAGAAACCACACAGATTCTTTTCTTTTTAAAAAAATTTTTTTTTTAGTTATAGATGGACACAATACCTTTATTTATTTATTTTATGTGGTGCTGAGGCTTGAACTCAGTGCCTCATATGGCTTGGTGAGCACTCTACCACTGTGCCACAACCCCAGCCACCTAGATTCTCTATGAAAGGAACAAACTGGCAGAAGAACAAAGTGGGAGTGATAATGGCCAAATTATATGGTTATATTGTGTGCATGTATGAATATGTAGCAACAAATCCCATTATCATGTACATTATGCATTAATAAAAAATGTGTAAAAAAGGAACAAAGTGGGATTTCCATTTTAAATTATTATTATTATTTGGTACAGGGGATTAACTCAGGGGCACTTGACCGCTGAGCCACATCTCCACCCCTATTTTGTATTTTATTTAGAGACAGGGTCTCACTGAGTTGCTTAGCACCTGCTGAGGCTGGCTTTGAACTTGAGTTCCTCCTACCTCAGCCTCCCAAGCCACTGGGATTACAGGCGTGCGCCAGCGCACCCAGTCTTAAATTAATTTTGAAGACAGAAAAACAAAACAATAAATGACAGTAATCCACCTTGGGTCACCGTATTTTAGCCTAAGAATGATAATGTCTTTCTTTCCTTTTTCCTCTTCTCAAGAATTCAAAAACCACAACACTTTACCACATGAATTTCCAGCAAGTGGTGTTTGGAGCATGGATATCCCCTATGAAAAATATAACTTATTACCTTCCATTTAAAGTCTACATGAAAAATGTAAAACTTCTATAAACAAAAGATAAAAAATTAAATTAAAAGGCAATCTCACCACAAAACAACGAAGTAAAGCATATGCTAATTAGCTCAATTTAATCATTCCACAATATATACATATTTCAAAACATATTGTGCATATATATTTCAAAACATGTTGTACATGATAAAGGCAATTTTTATTTACCAATTAAAAGTTTAAGAAAATTGGTGTTGGGGATGCGGCTCAGCGGTAGAGTGCTCACCTAGCACATGCAAGGAGCTGAGTTCCATCCTCTGCACCACATAAAAATAAATAAATAAAATAAAGGTATTGTGCCCAAATACAACTAAAAACAAATTTAAAAAATTTCTGAAACATCTATTTACAAATTTTTTTTCTTAAAGTGAAAATAGGCAAACAAGTCATTGTAACATATGGCAAACATTCTTAAATTAATGTATAAAAAGCTCTTATGAATTAATAAGAAAAAACCCTGGACATTCTAATACGAATCAAAGATATGAAAAGATAACACAAGAAAAAACACAAAAGACTAATTAACATGAAACTGCTGGATTTCAATAAAAAGTGCAAAATAAAATTATGTATCTTTTAAAAAAGTTATGTATCATTCTTAACCTAGTCTATTGGCAAAGACATTTTAAAAAAATTTGTTCTAATTAGTAGGCAAAGACTTTTTTTATTAAGATTTTAAAATCAATTTGGTAATTTTCCTTTCGAGAATTTATCTAAAGGAAATAAAAAAAAGAAGGGATCAAAAGCATATATGGAAGGCTGGGGATGTGGTTCAAGAGATAACACGTTCGCCTGGCATATGCGGGGTGCTGGGTTCCATCCTCAGCACCACATAAAATAAACATGTGTCCATCGAAAACTGAAAAATAAATATGAAAAAATTCTCTCTCTCTCTCTCTCTCTCTCTCTCTCTCTCTCTCTCTCTTTTAAAAAGCATATATGGAAGTATGTTCCTTAGAAAATTGTCTATGATTTTAAAAAATTGACATGATTTTTACATTTGGTGGAAATAAGGAGGTGATCAAAGAATAATTGCCATACAAAGAGAAATTTTCTTGAGGTTCACAACACCTAAAAGGGGAGAAAAATGTGTATAAACCTCACAGCAACTACACTGGATAGATGAAGCATATTAACCACATAGTGAGTGAGTTACCAAATCATTAAAGTTTAATTGCCCAGCTAAGATGGAAGCTGACCTCCTCTTTTAGAAGCTGTCAGGGCCATCACAGACATTTTGACTTAATGCTGGGGCGTGGTGCTGATGTTGGGGCTCCAAGGCTTGGGGGAAGTCTGAGCTCTTGGTGTGACAGAATGGCTAACAGTTCTGCCATTCCATAGACTCTCAAAGTGTTGGTCAAACTCTTGTGTTTATGAGTACGTTTGAAGTCAGTAACTCACGTGTGGGAAGTGGTCCAATAAAGTTTGACAGAACATTCTGGAGGGCAGGAGTTTGCTCATATTCTCAAAGAGAGTGGGGAGTTCACTCGGAATTTTTACATAAGGGATCTGATAGGATGTCTGATCTTAAAATATGTGGACAGGGGTGTGTGTGTGGGGGGGAATTCTTTAAAACAAAAATATCATGTAGCAAACTACTTAAGCGTTTGGAGTCATTCAAAGCTACCTCACAATGATTTCATTTTAGCAATCGAGCATTGTTAAATAAATAAATTGAGGATTGTCAAATAAATCAGGGTATATATTCTCTCATTGAGCAATTCTGTTCAAATTTATCCCTAGAAATTGAACCGACAATTCTTACAGACACAAATGTGTTTATTTTAGCAGTTTGTTGAAGCAAAAAATAGTTGAATAATTTATGGCACACCCAAACCATGGAGTGAAAAAAAGAAAAAATAAACCCCAACACATTAATGATCACACTTATGTATATAAGTAAGATACTGTGTGTGAACAGAAGGGTGGTTTATAGCTATGCAGTCATGAAGAAAGAAGCTTCATATCTTTATGTAGAAAAGTATGTTAAGAAAAAGTGCTTTGTAACTGTACACATAATGATCCTGATTATGGGATATATTGTAACGTTGCCTGAAGATATTTGGGGGCCCCAAACACTTTGACAATGTCCTTTGAAGACCAGTTCCACAATGGACCCTAATCTGGTTATTTGACATAAGACTTGGTGTCAAAGACATTTATTTAAATGAATGTTAACTTTGATTTTGCCTCTGAAAAGCTCCTAATTCTAGTTAGAGCTATCTTAGCTTGAGAGTTAAAGAACCCTCTGGTGCTGACCCATGCAAAGTGATTGCAGAGCCAACAAGTAAACCTTAACAGATCGACTTTGTTCAGCTTTGTATTTTCAGACAGCTCTTTAATTACAAACGGTTGTGGCAGGGAGTCTGAAACTGGATGGGACTGAGGAACTGAGGTTACAATCATGAAATAAAACCTTTGAAGCCTTGTCATTCAGAGATTCGTGGCAGCCTTCCGCTAGCGATTTTAAGCCTCGGCTCCACGCACACTCAGAAGAGGGAACGCGGAGATGGCTTCTAGGATCTCTAACCAATGCCTACACTTCTGCTCTCTGGCCTAGCAACTCCGGACCAATGGGTGGAAGGCTATCTTTTGATCCTTTACTGTTCCCTTCCAGCCAATCGGAAACGTTCTTTAAAAGCCCCTACTCCTCTGAGGTGTGCAGGCCAGGGAAGCTGGCTTCACTTCCGGGCCGCAGTCTGGGGCGGCTGCGCCTGTTGCCATAGCGACCATTTTACGTTAACTGGTTTACAAACCTATCCAGGTGGCCCCAGCAACCCTTTCCCCGACTCCCTCTAGGCTTCCTGAAGCCGGAAGGCCTTAGCCAGCTCCCGGAATTTGGCCTAGGGATCTGCGTCGCCCCGTAGGGGCGGGATGGCTACGGAAGAAGAGGACGAGGTGGAATGGGTGGTGGAGAGCATCGCGGGGTTCCTGCGAGGCCCCGACTGGTCCATCCCCATCTTGGACTTTGTGGAGCAGAAATGTGAAGGTAAAAACTAGAGCCCGAACTGACAATGTTATTCTTGACTCTCTCGCACCAGCAGTGTCAGGGAGGCGGTCACCACACATCATTTCATCTTCTCCGTCTCCATCCTGGCCGACCAGATTTGGAGCTAGTTATGTAGGAGGAATTGCATCTACTCCCCCAGATCTGAAAATGCGGACCTAGACGCCCTCCCCAATCTGCTCCACGCCGCGCGTCCGAAAAACATTAGACTTTAATTCTATGTTCGGTTTTTCGCCCCATCCGCACATTTCTGCCCTGGACCCTTGGACTCTTTGGGTGGGCTTCTTTAACAGTTTCCCCAGTTACCTGGGAGGAGAAGTGCCAGTTTTCCTTTGAGTTCCTTCTGATCCCTAACATTTTCCCCTGTGGAATCAGTGTAGGAAATAAAAAATAATTCACCCCGACCTGTTGACGAGCCAAAGGAGGGCATGTGATTACTCCCGCAGTACCAGAGCCCGAGATCTCGCTGGGCTCTATTCTGCTTTTTGAGTTCTTTACTCTCAGCTATACCAAAAAGGGGGTGATAGCGGCATGTGCTTGGGTCCTTTTTTCTTTCTTTCTTTCTTTTTTTTTTTTTTTTTTGAGACATACAGACGTCACATAATAGTTCCTTTGAAGGATAGGCACCTCCGGTTTCTGATCAGTTCACACTTATTCACAATTCAATCCTGCCTTCACAGAAAGGGAACCAGAAACTATGTCATGGACAAATGTCCAGATGTTGTCTTGGTTATTTAGCTTGGGCAAGACTTAGAGTAATAACATCCCTCAGTCATTTGAATGTCTTTCTTATAAGGTGTTGATGGTAAGGACTTGATGGTCAGAATCAGTGGGATAGAGGTGGGGACAGTGGGTACAAGCTGCAAGGAAACAAATTTCAGTGAAGGAAATGCTTGATATCCAGGATGCTAAGGCCTGCCTGAAAAGGTAATGAGTTCCCCCAGGCATTAGCAGTGTTTGAATGGATCAGATAATGACTTAATGGAGATGTTAGAAAGGATTCAGCTATTCAATGGTTCATCATCCTGGATAATCCTTTAAGACTTCTTTCAAGAAGATTCCATTAATCTGGTAAAGATGAAATTTTGTTTGACCACTAATTCTTTATTATATTCTCATTGTTATAATCAAAAGTCAAATACTAGTTATTAAGTGTTGTTTTTAAAGGTAATTTTTAAGGACAGTCAAAAACAAAATAACGTACTTGTACTTCTTTTAAGCATTTAAAATGCCATCATGATACTGATGAGGCATGTTGAATTCTGACCTCCTTTAGAAGAAAAAAGAAATTATGTCATCTATTAATTCCATTTACCCCGCTGAGACTAAATGCTGAAATGAAAAAAAAAAAAAAGCCCTGTTCATCTTTTTATTCCCAAGTGTCAAAAGTGCACTGAGCACAATGGAGCATCCCTATAATCCCAGAGACTTGGGAGGCTGAGGCAGAAGGATCACAATTCAAGGCCAATTTAGCAAGACCTTGTCTCAAAACACAGGACTGGGTATGTAGCTCAGTGTGTAAAGCTCCCATGGGTTCAATCCCTGATAGATAGATAGATAGACAGACAGACAGACAGAGGCTGCATCTTAGTAATATTATAGCCAATAGTGTAATTTTACAGAGAAGCATATCTTCAGCCTCATAAACACTATAGTGTAGTAATTTGGTTTTAGAATGAACTGAAAACAGCTTATGTAGCAGTTGTATAGAATGTATATGCAGTGTTACAGAGTGGCTGTAGGATAAATAGAAGAAACATGCCAGTGACACTTGAAATAACTGTTTATAATTCACTGACTTGAGCTTAAAATGTGCTATTCTCTACTTTAGATGATTTCAATATTAGTTTGTACAACTTCATGACATCATCATTTACTTCAAATAGTGCGTTTCCTTGAACCAGAAACTAGGGATAGATATGAATAACAAAATCCTGTACTTGAGAAATATATAATGTCATGGAGAAGACAGGTAAATAGAATAAAATACAAAGTGGCAGATGTTATAATAAGGATAGGTACATTGTGTAGTATATTATGGGCTGAGAGGAGAGACCTAACCAAACTAGTACTTCAGAGTGTGTTGCAGATCATAGTAATATGACATGACACTTGGCAATATCTCCCCCTACCTTCTGCCACAATACTGTATTTTGAGATAGGATCTCAATAAGTTACCCAGGCTGGCTTTGAAATTGTTGTCCTTCAGCCTTAGCCCCTAAGTAGCTGGGATTCCAGGTGTGTGCAACAGCGTCAGGCATTAGAATGGTTGGTAGAGAGGGGACAGGGATGGAGTAAAGGGAAAAAAAAAAAAAGGAAAGGCGTGGGTTTTGAAGTGGTATATGTTATGTTTGGAGTGTTACAAGTAGTTGTGTATTGTTAGGAGGACAAGATTTGGATTTTGGAGTGGTGGAAAGTGAGATAAAACTTGGGATCAAATCCTGGAGGGTCTTGGTTTGGCCTTCTAAGGATTTTGCATTTATTCTGTAAGGAAGTGAACAGTTATTGGAAGAGTTTTAACTTGAATATCACAGAAGTTAGTTTTGCCAATTAGGAAGATCATTCTGGGGGAATGAAAAAAAATATTTATTGTTTACAATTCATGAATGTGTCCTGGTTTCTTAATTAGATTATAGATTCTTAATCTAAATTGTTTCACGAATAACACTCAGTAAACATTTGTTTTGGTTTTGTTTTGACTTCATTTATTCATCTGTGGTAATAAAAATGGCCTAGTCACTTTGAACAAATTTTACATTAGCAAAGTTCCAGTACAATAAAATAATTTTGAGACTGTTATAAAAGGGATTTAATGTTTAATAATATTCCATTAGAAGCTTATGAAGAAATTGTTGCCTTATGTTGTGGCAAATTAGTTTTCATCTTAAATATGAAGGAGATTTTGTTTTAATATTTTTTAAATGAGAGAAAACTTGTTTAAATTAATATTATATATTATATGTATTTGTGTATATTACTTAATTTTAATAATATATTTAACATTGTACCTAATATATTATGTCAGCATATATGCTTATTTTTAAAAGTAGTAATTTGATATTTTACTTTTTATTTTTACCAGTATGAGGATTGAATCCAGTGGTGCTGTACTACTGAGTTACACACCCAGCCCTTTTTATTTTTTATTTTGAGGCAAGGTCTCACTAAGTTGCCCAGGCTGGCCTTGAACTTGCAGTCCTCTTATTTTAGCCTCCAGAGTCAGTGGGATTACAGGTGTGCACCACTCAGCCCAGCAGATATTTTTAATTTTTTTAGGTCTTTTTTTTAATGTTTATTTTTTAGTTTTTTAGGTGAACACAATATCTTTATTTTATTTTTATGTGGTGCTGAGGACCGAACCCAGTGCCTCACGCATACCAGGTGAGCACACTACCACTTGAGCCACATCCCAAGCCCCAATTTTTTTAGGTCTTTGAAATCCAGTATATATTTATTTTCATGTGAAAGAATTGGTCAAAATTTGGATCTCATAAAAATTTATAGTTTAGCTAGGTGTGTGGCTGCATATACTTGTAATCTCAGTGGCTTCGGAGCTGAGGCAGCTTCAAAATCAGTCTCAGCACCTTAGCAAGACCCTGTTTCAAAATTTAAAAAATATTTTTTTAAAAGGATGGGGATGTGGCTCAGTGGTTAAGTGCCCCTGCGTTTAATCCCTGGTACAAAAAAAAAAAAAATTACAGTTTAAAAAGTAGATTTACATATCTAAATTGTTTTTAAGAAAAACCATAGGAATTCAAAGCTGAAGAGCTAAATTATCAGAATGACAGTTCCATTTGTAAAGAATGGATTATAAATTTGTATTCGTGAAATGATTTTTTTACACTATATTTTTCTCAAATTTAGTTTTTGATGATGAGGAAGAAAGCAAATTGACTTATACAGAGATTCATCAGGAGTACAAAGAGCTTGTAAGTATTTTTCACTGATTTTAAAAGGTAATTAGAATAATGATGCTTGTAATTTTCTAAATTAAAAAAAAATTGATGTTGTTTCATTAAAATTATTTAATTTCACAAATATTATCTACCCTAACAGTACTATCAGTTGTATTAGACTCAATGGTTTCTCTGAGCATCTCATTTTTATGATTTCATCTCTCTTCCACCCTAGAATCTAAGGACTGGATTTATAATTATAGAGATCTTACATTTGATCTTTATATTTTATCATTTTTGGCTGATGCCTGCAGGGAAATGTTAGTTTTTCACTTAGTTATGGTTGTCTTATGATTTTTAATAATGACTGTTGAGTAGCAGAAAAGTTCTGCTACATTGAATTTTATAATTCTGACTTTTATTATTTCTAGTAAAGGAAATATGATTTTATGTGATTCTCTGAAAAAAATTAGCTTTTGTTATATTTTGGTGAAATGACAATATTATTTCAATATAATATTACATAGATTAACGCAAAAGCATTTGAATTATACTTTTTTAAATTGAATACTTAATAGGTATACTGTCATTTAAAATTTTTCTATATAAAAGTTAAACTTTCCCTTCTTAGGTTGAAAAGCTGTTAGAAAGTTACCTCAAAGAAATTGGAATTAATGAAGATCAATTTCAAGAAGCATGTACTTCTCCTCTTGCCAAGACTCGAACATCACAGGTTTTTGCTTTTGTGTTATTCTGTTACCTTGCAATTGTAACAAAAATTCCCAGGGTTTCCTCTTAAATTTAGTATGTTTGATTGCAAAAGTATAATATTTTAGACATTGTAAGAGGTGAAAAAGATAATTCATTACATAGGGGTTGTCTTTTAGAACAACCTTAAAAAATAATAATTTGAGGCATTAATGAGCTGATATAATTAAAAATGAACTTTCCAAAATCAACTGTAATAAGATTGCAGGGTTTATCCAAATTACTGTTTTATTTATATAGATCTCTGATAATTCTGCAGTTGCCCTTTTAGTACATCCATAGTTAATAGTTACTGGGGCTTTTTTGTTTTGGAATTATTTCTGTTGTCTCAGTTCTGTAGTGCTGGGCTGAAGTAGGTATTATGTGTAATTTTAACATTTATTGAGGACTTGTGCTAGTTGATGTTTTAGACACTTAGTCATCTTGATCCCTCTTAAGAAACTGGTAATTTAACTTTCATCTATATGTGAGAAAACTAAAGCACAGATATATTAAGTACCAGTCCAAAGTCCATAGCTATTAAAGTAGTGGAGCCAGTATAACAACACAGGCCATTCAACTGAGAGCCATTGCCCAGAGGTTGAAATAGAGACATGTTGCTACTATCCAGGTAGACTTTTGAAAAACTTAGTTTGGTTTGTCATCCTCTTAGTGAATTTAAAAATTTCTTAGCAAGATGATAGTGAGGATTGTCTATGATGTGACTCCAAATTATATTTTCAGCCTTGATCTCTTGTTCTCTTCTCCAATACATAATGTACTATTGTCATTTCAATCCACTCACTCTTACAAACATCTGTGTACCCAGCTTTGCTCATGCTGTTTCTTCACCTAAGATGTATGGCCCTACAACCAACGCACTCGTTAGGGCCTGGCTGAAATGCTACTACTTATGGAAGTGTAGTATGTTGCTTCCTTAATCATTAGAGGGTAGAACTCATTCTATCTCACGGGGCACTTTTATATTTTGGATATTTTTGAATTATAGTTTTCTACTAGTCCATTTGCCCTATTAGATTGTAAATCCTTTGAGCTGTTTATGGTATCTTTGCATTTCTAGTTACTAGCTTAGAGATGAGAGCTTAATTTGTAGTAGGTTGTTTACAATAAATATTTGTTAAATAACCTTATTATTATGTCCTTGAAGAGATTGTTTTGATTATTTAATCTGGCATTTACTGGTACACTTCTCTTTTTTACAGTTTCTTCTCATTTAATGATCATCTCTAATTCTAGAGGTAGAAAATCTTTAACATAACATTTTAAAGAAAGTGTGTACACACTAATGTAAACAAATATTATAACAGTTAATAATTCTATAAAGCAAAAGTTGTTTTACAGTTTACCTATATATATTATATATTACACATATATATTATATACCATGATTTTAGTTTATAAACAATAACAGACATTTTTTCTTTTTATTTATTTTCTTCTTTTTAATGGAATAGGAAGAATTTGATTAAAAATTACAGATGATCCTCAACTTATGATGGGTTTATGTCCTGATAAATCCATCATAAGTCAAAAAGCATTTAATGCACCTAACCTACTGAACATCATAATTTAACAACATAGTACACTATAGAGTATCACTTGTTTCCCTTTGTGATCATGTGTTTGTCTGGAAGCTCACTGCTGTTGCCCATCACCAAGAGCGATTATCATACTGCACATTGCTAGCCCATGATAAGATCAAAATTCAGAATTCAAAGCATGGTTCTACTTAATGTATATTGATTTTGCACTATTGTAAAGTGGAAAAACTTAAGTTGGCAACAGTCTATAACTATCTTTTGTTTGTATTATCAAGATAACTAAGTTATTTGTGAATGTAGATGTTCAGAATTCAGATATTGTGTTCAGATCAAAATCAACACAGTTTTCTATTTCATTCTACCGTATACCTTTTAATTTGCTTAGAATTGATAGTACAGTTTTGTTATATACAACAAAGCAGGCCTTTTGAGATGGTTGGACCTACCTGCTTATGAGTCCTTAATCTTTCATTTACTATGTGTAAGATTTTGGCAAAAGCTCTTGTACAGTTTACCTTCTTAACCCTTTTTTTTTTTTTATATACTTTTTTAGTTGTAGATGGACACAATGTCTTTGTTTTATTTATTTATTTTTTTATGTGGTGTTGAGGATTAAACCCAGTGCCTCACACATGCGAGGCAAGTGCTCAATCACTGAGCTAAAATGCCAGCCCTCTTAACTTTTTTGATTCTTAGTTTTTGCATCTGTTAAATAGGGATAGTATATACTTTGAAATGTTTTTTTTTTTTTTTTTAATTTAAGAGATAACATACATAAAGCATTTAGCACAATGTCTGGTGTATATCAGGTGGTCTATAAATAAATGGAAGCACTTCTTAATTAAAGATAGCTATTTTGGTGCTTGATTAGGGTCATGCGTTCAATCCCCATGTGGACTAGTTAGATTTATTCTCTACTAGAGTAAATTCTTAGTTACCAGACACTTAGTAGTTACATTTAATCAGTATAAGGATGTCACTGTTACTGAAAAAACACCTTGAAGCACTTTATTTACTGCTTTGAAGCAACCTAATCTTTATACATGAAAATCAAAATGTTGATTCCAATATTGGGGTGTCTAAGAGGGAATTAAAGAAACAAATTGCTTGCCCTGGATAATTTAGGAGGTAATTTTTGGTTTGTTTTGGTTAGGTAATTTGGTTTTGATTTTCTATACAGGCTGCCAGTTTTCACGAATTTGTACAACTAAAGCAAACTTGGAAAATTCTTTTCATTTCATTAGTTCTAAACCACTGGTTCTGGCATATTCTTTGTGGATTAAAGCTAGAAAAAGTGGCAAGGAATGCATCAGATGAAGCAGTGTAATGACAAAAAGGTTCAGGGGCAGTGGTTCCTGTCTGCAATCCCAGGGACTTGGGAGGCTGAGGTAGGAGGATTGCAAGTTCAAGGGTAGCCTTAGTGACTTAGTGATGCCCTAAGCAATTTACTGAGACCATGTCTCAAATAAAAAATAAAAACTGGGGATATAGCTCAATGGCAAAACATCCCTGGGTTAAATCCCCAGTACAAAAAAACAAAACAAAACAAAACAAAAAACACAACAACCAACTTTTTTTTTAAAAAAATGTTTTTTAATTGTAGATGGACACAATACCTTTATTTTATTTATGTATTTTTATGAGGTGTTGAGGATCGAACCCAGTACCTCATACGTGTAAGGCAAGCGCTCTGTCACTGAGCCACAATCCCAGACCATAACCAACTTTTTAACAGCATGTTTTTCTGTTATACACATGTGATTTCTTAAAAAAAAAAAAGTTCATGAATTAAAATATCTTATACCAATTCAGAAAAATATGACAATATAATAAATAGTGAGATATTTATCATTTCCGTTGCCTATAGTTGAACGTCAGGATTTTGTAGTATTTTGCAACTGAAGTGGATAAAAACAACATCCGCTTGTGAGGATAAAACTTATCATTAATTTCAATGTATGACAAAATTCAGGGATTTCTAGAAGGGTTTTTTGTTGTTTTGTTTTGTTTACTTGATTTGCATTGACCTTTATAAGATAGAAATTAATACTTGCAGAAACATTTCTCTTATAATAATTGGCACTGTTAAGAAGATTACATCTGTGGTGTTACTATTGAATCTTTTTTAGTATTAGGGATTGAACCCTTGGGTGCTTAACCACTGAGCCACATCTCCAGCCCTTTTTTATATTTCATTTGTTGCTTAGGGCCTTGCTAAGTTTCTGAGCCTAGCTTTGAACTTGCAATCCTCCTGCCTCAGCCTCCTGATCTGCATGTGATTTCTGTGATTACAGGCATGCGCCATTGCTCCCAGTTTACTATTGAATTTCTAAAAGTACACATAGGATAATAGAAAATATTTTGTGTGAGTCCTAGTAAGATTTTAAAGAAGCTAGGAATATTTATTTTTTAGAGAAATTATAGGCTTATAAAAATGAAGCAGATAGTTTCCCTTATTAAAATATTACATTAGTATTGTATATTTGTTATAACTGATGAACCAGTATTGATACATTAACCCTTCCGGTACTTGTAAGGGCTTTGCCAAATATAGAATGCCATGTAGCCACTATTACAGTGTTGTAGAAAATAGTTTCACAGCACTAAAAATCTCCTCTATGTTCCATATATTCATTCCTCCTGGCTTGTTTCAGTTCCCAAACAATGTTTGGTGTTTTTGTTTTCTCAGTAATTTTACCCTCTCCAGGATGTCATGTAATTGGGAACATAGTATATATCCTTTCAGACTGATTTCTTTTACTAAGCAATATGCATTTAACTGTTCCTCCATATTTTGTGGCTTCATAATTTTATCACCAAGTATTATTACATTATATGGATGTACCAGTTTGTTTTTCCTTTTATTGAAGGGTATCCTGGTTATTTCCATTTTTTTTTGGCAATTTTTAAATCTTTTTAAGATTTTTGTGTGGACATTATGATTTTAATTTGTTTGGCTAACCACCTGTGAGTGGATTGCTAGGTCATCTGATAAGACAAAGCTTAGCTTTTTAAGAAACTTTTAAGCTGTCTTCTAAAGTGTCTTTACCATTTTATATTTCTGTCACCAGTAATGGACCGTTTCTGTTTTTCCACATCTGTGTCAATACTTGGTATTTTTGGATTATAAACGTCCTAATAGGTGTGTAATGCTATCTTGTTTTCTTTTGCCCATTTTTCAGTTGAATTGTTTGTTTTCTAATTGTTAAGTTTTAAGAATTCTTTGTATTTTTAGGTACAAATCCTGTTATAATGCTTTTCAAAGTAGTTTGCAAAATTTTCTTTTGGGGTTTTCTTTTCATTCTCTTAAACAGTGTCTTTCACAGTAGAAATTTTTAATTTTAATTAAGTCTGATTTACCAGTTTTTTCTTTCATGGAGTTTGCTTTTGATGTTGTATCTAAGAAGTCGTCACCAAATCTAATTATCTAGATTTTCTTCTATGTTACCTTTTAAAGCTTTAGTTTTGTGTTTTTATATTTAAGTCTGTGGTTAGTTTTGTGATAACTTCTGGTGTAAGGCCAATGTTTAGGGTTTTTTTTTTTTTTTTAGGATGCTCATTTTGAGTTGTTCCAGCATCATTTGTTGAGAAGACTATCCTTTCTCTATTGAATTGCCTTTGTTTCTTTGTCAAAAATCAGTTGAGTGTGTTTTTGTAGGTATAATTTCAGGACCTATTCTGATTTCATTGATCTGTTTATCTACTACAACACCAATATACCACCATAGTGATTATTATAACTTAATAATAAATTTTGATGTTGGGTAGTGTTAGTTCCTTGACTTTGTTCTTTATCTGTGTTGTGTGATTATTCTGGGTCTTTACCTTTTCATGTATCTTTTAGAATAAGTTTTAATATCCACAAAGCAGTTTGCTGGGATTTCTGTTGGGGTTGTGTGAATCTACAAATTAAGCTGGGAAGATATGTTAACAGTTTTGAGTCTCCCTATTTATGAATATGGAATATCTTTCTATTTCTTTGGATCTTTAATTTCTTTCATTAGAGTTTTATTACTCCTTATACAGATCTGATACATACTTTGTTAGACTTATTCCTACGTTAAGTACTTCTTTTTTATCTTTTTATCTTTTGTGTTTTTAATTTCAAATTCCAATTGCTCATTGCTGGTACATAGGAGAGCAGTTAACTTTTATATGGTAAAATATATCCTGGTTTTAATTACTTACATGTTCCAGAAGTTTAAAATTTTTTTCTTTTTGTATTTTTCTAAAGACAAGTCATGTTATGTGAACAAAAACAGTTTTCTTTCTTCCTTCTTAATTTTTTATAATTTTATTTATTTTTTCATCTAGTGCTGAGGATCGAACCCAGTGCCTCACACATATAAGGCAAGTTCTCTGCCACGGAGCCACAACCTCAGCCCTCTTCTTTCTTAATTAATAACTTTTTATTAACTCTTCATGTTTTATTTTATTAACTAGAACTTCCAGCACAGAGTTGAATGGGAATGGTGAAAGAGATCATTCTTGCCTTATTTCTGATCTAGTGGGAAAACATCTAGTTTCTTACCATTAAGTTTAATGTTAGCTGTATGTTTTTAAACAGATGTTCTTTACTGGGTGAGGAATTTTTTAGTCCTCATTTGCTGAGGGTTTTTAATCTTGAATGGTTGTTGGGTTTTGTTAGATTCCTTTTCCATATCTGTTATTATGATCAGATGATATTTCTTCTCTGCTCTGTTGATATTTGTTATATTTAGTGATTTTCAGATGCTGATCCATCCTTGCATACCTGGAATAAATCCCACCTGGTTGTGGTTTATAATTCTTCTTATACCTTGTTGTTTTTAGTTTGCTAAATTTTGTTGAATATCTTTATATCTTTGTTCGTGAGAGAGATTGATGTGTAGTTTTCTTTTAATGTCTGTCTGGTTTTGGCATTAGGGTAATACTGGCATCATATAATGAATTAATTAGTATTCTCTCTGCTTCCATTTTCTGGATGATATTGTAGAGAATTGGTATAATTTCTTCCTTAAATGTTTGGTAGAATTCACCAGTGAACCCATTTTGGTTTGGTATTTTCTATTATATAGGGTTATAAGTTATTGGTTCAACTTCATTATCAAGGCATAGGCTGTTCAAATGATCTATTTCTTCTTTTGTGTTTTGGCAGATTGTATCTTTTAAAGAATTTCATATAATCAAATTTATGGGCATAATTACTCATGGTATTTCTTTGTCATCCTTTCAATGTTCTTAGGATCAGTAGTGATAACACTTTTTTCATTTTTGAGATTAGTAGTTTGTGCTTTTGCTCTTTTTCCCCTTAATCTAGCTAGAGGTTTAATAATTTTAACCAGCATCAAAAGGTCCAGAGCAATTACTTTTATCTTCATTCTTCAGTTTATAAAATGTTTTCTCATTTTATTTAATCTCAATACCTAGTTAGAAAGTTGTTCTGTATTTCTTTTATTCTAAGAAGCAAATTTTTTAAAAAATTAGAATTCTATAGTTATATATAGTAGTTGGGTTCATCTTGATAAACTCATATATGCATTGAGTTCTATTTCAGTTTATGATCCTCCCCCATTTTCCTTCCTCTGTTCATCTAGATTTTCTTTTGTTCATCTATTTATTTTTATTTGATTGGTTCTTTCTACCTATACATAAAGGTGAAGTTCTCTGTGATATATTTATATATGCACATACATGATTTTTTAAAGAAATCATTCTGCATGAGGCAATTTTTATCACAATATCTTTAAAGTAGGAATACATTTTATAATTGATGGTATTATAGTTTAATTGGTAGTGTTTTTTTCTTAGTGGCATATAAAACAGTGGTTTATCTTACTAATCTATAGTATTAGGTTCAGTGAAATACTGTATAGATACTGTTGTTAATATATTGATTTTACAGAAAAGAGACTGAAGCTCTGAGAATTTAAATGATATGTTGAAAGCCACAGGACTGGTGCATAGTCAAACTGAAAGCAGGCTTTTGCTATCAAGGATTCTTTTCTTTTCCTAATGTATGGACTCTTTTCCTTTCCTAATGTATCAGTGGTTCTCAAACTTTAATGTTGTAAGAATTATCTGAGAAGATGTGTGGGCACCCATCCTCCAGAGATTTAGGTGAATTGTATCTATGGCAGGGCTCAGGAATATGCATTTTATTAATCCCTCTTTCTTGCATTTATTAAGAGGAATCAAGAATAACATTTTGAGGAACCCTGTATTATAAGTTCCAGAGAAGTTATTTAGTGGCATAATCCTATAAATTGGACCCTGGTAGACTTCAGTAAGCAATCACAGAGACTGCCCACGTTGTTTTGAGTACTGAACTCTGGGCAGCAGCTTTCAAACACAGCTGAAGCTTGTTTGTCAGGTCCTGCTTTGGGGCTTTCTGGACTGTATCTGTAAACTTGGTGGAAAAGAAACATTTCCTCTTTTCTCTCTATAGTTGACCCCATGTACTTGTCACATAGAACTGCTTTTTCACTTTATCTTTGTTTTGTTCTCCTGCACAAATCTAGGATGTAAGCTGGTTGATGGGGGAAGGGCTCCTTCCTCTTTCAAATAGATCTTTTTGATGAGGCTTTTGTTGAGGTGTTCTCTGTGACAATATTGCTAATGCCTACCTAGTAAATCACACATCCTTCGTTGCCTCAGCATGATTTTGTATGGTCAGCTTTTCAAGTAATATCATGTAAAGCTGGAAAGAATTCTAAATAAGATCTGTTTTTAGGCATTTATATTTTATTCTACTTTTTATTAATTAGTTTGGAAATTGATTTGCTCTTAATAATATAATATTCTCAATAGTTAAGGGAAGTATTAAGTGTGCACCCTAATATTAGACACCTTTTTTAAATTTCTTGTACTTCTCAGTTGATTTTACATTGTAATTTCTAACTCTGCTTCTTTTTAATAACTTTCTACATATAAGACAACTACAACAGCATTCACACATTAATTGTTCATTACACTTACTTTCCAGATTCCATTTATTGACGTTCAACTTGGTACTTTTTATTGATTAAGGGATAATTTTTGTAGTTACTGAATCATTATTAAGCAATAAAATTTAAGTGACAGGAATATAAATTAAATAGATGTTATTTTGGTAGAAAAACAAACCTAAATACTGAAGAGGTAACTTCAGAAAGGTAAGCCAGATTCTTGTGTTGTTTTTTTCAGAGTCATTGAGTACTGGCTCATTTGGAAAATGTATCATGGTTAACTTTAGCTTAAGCATGGGGATTTGGAGAGTTATCCTCTTGAGAACTGTATCTTAAAGGATTTTAAAATAAAATCTTAGAATTGTCCATTTGAGTCATCTAACTATAAATGATACAGCACTCATGAATTAATGTGCTTTTTGCAGTGAAAATTATTTGAATGTGTGGGAAATAGTTTTAAAAAATTTAACCTCTAGATTTCTTTTCACAGGCCATTTTGCAACCTGTGTTGGCAGCAGAAGATTTTACTATCTTTAAAGCAATGATGGTCCAGAAAAACATTGAAATGCAGTTGCAAGCCATTCGAATAATTCAAGAGAGAAATGGTAAAATGTTGAAGTTAGAAATCTAAGTGCTAATGCTTTTTTTTAAAAAAAATTCTAATATGATCTTAAGTGAGGCTGCTTTTTATACATTTATTTCAAGTTTGAAAGTCTTTAGCTGATGTAAGAGACTTAAGAGTGTAGCTGGGTATGGTGGTGCATGCCTGTAATCCCAGTGGCTGGGGAGGTTGAGGCAGGAGGATTTCGAGTTCAATAACGGGGGAAGGGCTCTTTCCTCTTTCAAATAGATCTTTTTGATGAAGCTTTTGTTGAGGTGTTCTCTGTGACAATATTGCTCAACAAAAGCAAGGTGCTAAGCAACTCAGTGAGACCCTCAGCAAAAGCAAGGTGCTAAGCAACTCAGTGAAACCCTGTCTCTAAATAAAATACAAAATAGGGCTGAGGATGTGGCTCAGTAGTCAAGTGCCTCTGACTCCGGTACTTCCCAAACTCCCGCCAAAAAAAAAAAAAAAGTGTAAACTTCCTGATCAGTGTATATTGGACATCTCAAAGAAAGCAGACTTGATTTTCTCTTTAGCTTTTGTGTTTATGACACTTTGTATTGGTTATAATTACTGCTAAGAAAAGATTACTCTGCTGGCTTATCATTGTTAAGACTTCAGAAAGAAGCTGTGGTTTATGTGTATTGGAATCAGTTGGAAGAATTGTTGAAACACATGATAACCTCAGTTTCTGATTTAGTAGGGCTGGGTTGGGACCTAATAATTTTCATTTATAACAAACTTCCAGCTGATACTGAAGCTGCTGGTCCTGTGACCACACTAAAAACCACTGGTCTAGGGCAATATGATTATTGTACCAACATCAACAGAAAAGAAAACAGAAGGCTCTAGTAACCCTCTTTGACTTTATTTTTTGCCTGTCCCTGTGCTTAAACTCACCTCCCCTGTAGCTCTTTTTGCTTTTGTCCTCACCCCCTTTTTTGTACCTGAACTACATTAAATATTCTGACTTAAAACAGTCAAGTTTCTAACCATACTTCTTATTAATATACCATCTCCTTTTCAAAGCAGATTCTCATCTCTGTTTCAGATTTCTGGCTCTGGTAACGTTATCTTAATTTTTATGTGTTCCTTTGCTTGATAGATTGCTACTGATATTCTTTGTCATGGCCTATAACCTCTTTCATAGTTTGGCAGCAGGACCATTCTTTTGATTGTTTCCTGAAGAAATGAGAGCTAAAGTTCAGTTGTACTGTTTACTCTTAAGTGTCTAGAACATGCAACAATAGTGCTTCTATTGCAAACTCTTGAAGATTCTCCTTTTCATTTTGTCTGATGCGAGTGGACTCTATTCCTTAGAGCCAGCCATTATCTTAACCATTCCCTAAAGTCCCAAGATGCTTTCCACAGCAGGTAATAGAGCTGTTGTCCGTGGGTAGGAGATAATACTACCCTAACCATGAAGAATGCATAACACAGTGTTGTTACTTTTGTGTAAGTTTGGAAAATACTCTCCTTTTGTCTTTTTACTATGGTTTGATCTATAAAATCTTTTCGTCTTAATATTCCTGAGACTATGTTTTATTCTGACCTGTGGGATAATTATTTTATGTTAGTAAAATTTGTTTTGAGAGAATCAGTTTTGATAAGAGAAACAGTGAACTTGACATTGGACACTACATTGAAGTTTAACTGGAAACTATTTAGATTTTAATAAAAAAGGAGTAAATACCTATAGCTTGACTGCCAGCAACAGAACACCCCCATGAAAAGGTCTAAACAATTAGAAATTATCATCTCATAGAACAAGTCCAGAGGAAAGGAGAAAAGAAAGACAGGTCCAGGGTTGCTTTGTTTGGTGGCTTAGTGATATTATCAAGGACCCTGACATTTTTTATCTTTATATTCTGCCATTCTCAGGATCTTCTCTCATGATTATACTCTGGCTATATCCAATGCAGGCTTAATAGAATCTCTTAAAGAAAAGGAATGCTTCTTCCTGTTCTTCCTGTAAATTTCTTTTTGTTAGTAAGATAGCACTTTCATGAAAGCCCTCTAAGAATTTTCTCCTCAAACCCTATTGATCAGGCTTGGGGGTCACTTGCCTTTCTGGCATAGTGAATGAACCTATTATGGTTGGTTTCAACCAGTCAAAAATTACTCCTGGAGTAGGGGAGACCCAGCCTCTTAAGTAGTTGGCTGTCTGATGGCTACACAAAATGTGGTATACATTAATGAGGGAAGATGAGGGTGATGATATGGAGTAATGGCTGGTGTCAGACCACAGTGTGGGACAGTTTGACTACATTTTAACATAAACTAATACTTAGTTTCTGCTACAGAATTTTCGTACTTGTATTTAAGAATATTGCTTAATTTAGATCTAGAGATTAGTATCTTAGAAAACTGCAGGCTATTTGAAAATTGTCTTTGTGGTGAGAAAATTTTGAAGGCTCTCTGGATTTTGGTTGTATCATATCTAAGAATTTGGGGAAAATGCATGCCAGAGCATTATTGTGATGGTTTTGAAGTACATTGCATTATTCCTCCCTTAGTACTTTTAATTTTCCCTACAAAGATTATTATTAGAAGAATAATTTTATGTCCTTTGAGCAAAATTGCACTTAAGATTGGTGAGTTTTATAGATGTCAATATTCTGGTTGTGATATTGTACTATGTAGTTTTGCAAGATGTTACTAATGGGAAAAATTGGGTCAAGAGTATATGGCATCTTTCTATTTTTTTACAACTGTGTGTGAATCTGCAATTATCCCAAAATAAATTGTTTAATTTTGAAAATGCATCTAAATATCAAAGGGATTAAAATAATAAAGCTACTTTACTTTAGAGCAGATCCAAAATCCCATAGTCATACGTGGATGAAGAAATAGAAGGAAAAAAGGAGGAGACATTCTGCTAATTTAGAAAGTATTACCACTCTTCCTGTTTACCAGGAATATATAAGTAAAAAAGTAAATTAAACCTACATTTACAAAATTACTTCCTATCAGTTTTTATTGCTTTGGGCTAAAGTTGATATTGCTGTGGTTTATAGTTATTAGATCAATATATGAACAAAAGCTCCAAGGGCAGATATTGCATCATTCATCTTTTTAATACCTCCACAAAGTGCTTAGCACCATGTTTTTATTGCACATAGTAAACAGAATTCTTTTTAGTAACATATAATAAATGCTATAATAAAATGTTAACATATAATAAATGAATGAAGAGTATTAAATGCCTTTTTTTTTTGGTGGTGGTGGTGCTAGGGAATTGAACCCGGGGCCTTGTGCATGCGAGCTATATCCCCAGCCTAAATGCTGTTTTAACAAAATAATATTTTTTAAGCTCTTTCAATTTAAGAGTCACCTTTAAGAGCATGTTTTTATTATTAATCCTAGCTTAATGATTTCAGTGGTATATTCTCAGATACTGTATGATTCCAGAAGCCAGAAACTTACATTGTTTATTTCCAGATATCTTTTGTATATGTGTGTGTGGTATTGGGGATCAAGTCCAGAACAGATGGCATGCTAGCCAAGTGGTCTACTGCAGAGCTACATCTCCAGTCCTGATGATAATTGTTATTTTTAATAGCCAACACAAACAATTACTGAGATATATTTCTAGATAAAATTTTGGTTATTTTTGGTGGGACTTATTTTCTAAAATGAGAAATAGTTAAAAGATAAGAATTTGAAATATTTTATTAAGTGATAAATTGTAAACTAATTTTACCTGATGAACTAGAACAGTCAAAAATAAGTGTTTTCAGTTGAGTTGATATTATTCCATGTGGTGTTTGATTTTGAACAGGTATGTTACCTGACTGCTTGACTGATGGTTCTGATGTGGTCAGTGACCTTGAACAGGAAGAGATGAAAATCCTGAGGGAAGTTCTTAGGTATACTTCTTTATAATTATTTTGGAATGAATCATTAGTAATATTAGTAAGATAATAACAGTAATAATTATATGTATGTGCTTTTTATCCAGAAAATATTATAAACTAGTAAAATATCTAAATTTTCTACTAAAGACCTTCAAATTTATTTATCATTTTATAACTATGTGAGTTATCCCTCATCCAAAATGTTTAGGATCAAAAGTGTTTCAGGTGTCAGATGTTTTCAGATTTTGGAATATTTGCATAAGCCTTACTGACTGAGTATTCCTAATCTGAAGATCTAAAATTTTTTGAGCATTGTGGTGTTGTACAAAAAATTCTGAATTTTCATATTAGGAATGCTCAACTCGTATTATATTTATTTTTCTCTTAGCCAGGAATTCTAGCGCTAGGAAAGCCTTCTACCTCTGAGTCACATTCCCAGCCCCTTACATTTCTTAATTAATAGGAAGAATTATTTTCCGGTGATTCATGCCAGATTAGCCCAACTGAGTCTATTTTTTTTCCCTTCACCCTCACCATATAATTAATCACTAATGGAAAAAAAAGTTGCAGTATACCCAGCCTGAACCCTGGTGAGGTGGGGAGTTAAGCTGAATTCTTCATGGCTTCTAGATCTTAGAATTAGCAGTAGTTAAGTTGTCACATGGTAGGAGACTTGTCTTTCAGACTCCACAGATGCATAGCTGACAGGGTGACTGGACAACATCGGGAGGTGTTTATTCCAGATTAGTATTTTGCAGTTCGGGAGGTGTTTATTCCAGATTAGTATTTTGCAGATCTCTTCTTTGTAGTTACACGATTTTTCATCCAAATGCCTTATGTGGGGTAGACATGCAGCCCACAAAAGGGGCCTACGCAGAACTAGGAAAGCTTAGTGGGCATTTCTATGGTCTCCTGACCATTATGGAAGTTTTAGAAGGGAGGGGAAATTGTAGCATCTAATTTTTAACTGTGAGAATTTACTAAGATTAGAGGAGAAGCATACATGCATAACTGTGGAGTGGAGCACCAGATGATCGTTAGATGGCCTAGTGGAAACTATGACAGGTGTCCCAATTTAGTGCTTAACTTCAGTGGGTTTGAGTGGTTGTAGGGAGGAAAACAGATGTGTAGGTTGACCTGGCCCTTTCTTGCCAGATCTTAATTTCCATGGTACAGAATGCTTTGAATTTAAAGATTTGAAGATAGCAGGGTATTTGGTACATAGTACTGGTGAAGTTTTGACTTGTATTGGTTGCATTGGTTGATTTGTGATCTGAAAACAGATCCATTGTGCTTTTAGACTTTATTTTCTAAAAGCTTTTGAGGTGGATATACTATGGTACAGGTTAGTTATGAACATGTACAAATGTTACCCTCAGCTGTTTTCGTAAGTCAGACTGCCTCAGTGAGCAGTTTGTAAAAATTGATAGGCTTTGGCACAGTGGCATCAGGAATGCTTTATGATAGTTCAGATGCCACTGAAAAAAACAGAATGAGGGGAGAAATGGCTCTTATGGGGAGGTATAATTAATCTCTCTAAAGAAAATCAAAGTATTGATGAATGGAATTTGCTATTCAGATTTGGATTTAGGATTTCCCTTCACAATTCTTAAAGAAACGGTAACCATGTATTTTATGTTACTAAATTTTATTGTGCAGTATATTGTCTATTTCTCTTCAGTTGATTGTAAGCTTTAAAGCCTGGCAGTATTATTTTCCATCTCTGTGTCCAAAATGCCTTGCTCACAGTTATCATGTGGCTTAGTTAAACACTGTTTTTTGACCAAAAAACAAAGTTTACTTTTTTTTTTAACCTTATATTTGTATATTTCAGAAAATCAAAAGAGGAATATGACCAGGAGGAAGAAAGGAAGAGAAAAAAAAAGGTGCCTGCAGAACATATAAATACAACAGAAGTATATTCAGTTGCTGTTATCTCTTACTAATTTTGCACATAGTTTTTGCTGTTAACATTTAAGCTTCTATGGAACTACACAGTTCCTCAAGTAGTCATATTTTCTTGGCAAGTCTAAGCATTTATATTTAAAGTTTTATACTTTTTCATGCATGAAGTATATACTTTCTTTCCTACAAGAGTGTGTAACCTTATACATTCTTATATAGAAAGTATTTTTGGGGGCAGGGTGTAGCATAGTGGTGGAAAGCATATGCGTAGTGTATGTGAGGCCCTGGGTTCAATCCCTAGTACCAAAAATAAGTAATTCTCTCTTTATAACTTTATTCACTTTATAAATCTTCAAGCAACCTATTTTTTAAACTCCATAATAAAGACCAAGGTCATGAACTTCAAAAACTGTAATACATTTCATGTTTTGGGGAGTTCCTTATAAAAATCTCCCTTAATTTTCTGAATAAAAGATTAAGAAAAATATTTTACTTTTCCATTCTTGACTGCTTTAGTGTGTAGAAACAGCAGATACAGCTACTACCAAAGGTCCCTTGCAGGCTTTAATATTATCATGTAGAACTAGAATGATTCAGTATCATATTTCTTGGTATACAGTTCTTCCATTTAAGAACCATTTCCTTAAAGTGCCTAATCTCACTTTAATCAGATAATCAATGACCACTGTTGATAAAAGGATGAGCAGAGATCATAGGCTACTTGATAGATGTCTTGCAAAGGGTACATCACTCCTGTGACATTCTTACCCAGTGGCATAAACTGGATCTAACCATAAGAACCTACTACACACCCAAACCAGGGGCAGTCTACAGAACTGCTGGTGGAAGGTCTCAGAGTATCAAGGGTGACAAAAGTCACAGGAAGATTGAGGAGCTCTTCCAGCTCATAGGAGACTATGGATACCTAACAACTCAGTGCAACTAGGGACTCTGTCTGTTGCCCCAACCCCTAGGTGGAAAGAGCGCTCAAGAAAACCAGCAAAATATGAATGGGGTGTTGGTATGAGACAGTCACGTTTCAATGGTAACTTCCTGATTTTGGTGGCTTTATTGTGGTTATATGAAATAATGTTATTGTTTGTAGGAAATGTACATTAAATAATTTGGTCAAACATTTCCCCCCCCCCCCCCCAAAAAAAAAAAGTGCCTAATCTTTAAGGATATTTTCCTCTGATAGAGGTGTGGGAAGCTAGTATGTATTCTTTCCTGGCTGCTTCCCTTTTTATATTTTCACAATCTACTTGAGGGGAAAAGGAAACCTAATATAAACTATCTCTCAGTCACTTAAATATTTTTCTTTATTTCTTTGTCAGGCACCTGCAATCCCAATGACTTGGGAGTCTGAGGCAGGAGGATTCCAAGTTCAAGACCAGCTTCAGCAATTTAGTGAGGCCCTAGGTAACTTAGCGAGACCCTGTCTCAAAATAAAAAAAATAAAATAGGGCTGGGGATGTAACTCAGTGATGAAGTGCTCCTGGGTTCAATCCCTAGTACCCCCCCCCCCCCCCCCCAAAAAAAAAGTTGTTTTCCAATTTTTCCTCTTTTTACCAGGGATTGAACTCAGGGTACTAGACCACTGAGCCATGTCCCCAGCCCTATTTTGTATTTTTTTATTTAGAGACAGGGTCTCACAAGTTGCTTAGCACCTTGCTTTTGCTGAGGCTGACTTTGAACTTTTGATCCTCCTGCCTCAACCTCCCAAGCTGCTGGGATTACAGGCGTTTTCCACATTTTTTCCTCTTAGTCATGATACATACTTGTATTATTTTACTGTTTTTAAAAAATCCATTTTACTCTAAGTACCCAGTGAAAAGCAGAAGAAAGAGATTTATCTTTTTGGGGGGAAGGTACTGTGGATTGAACTCAGAGGCACTCGACCACTGAGCCACATCTTCAGCCCTATTTTGCATTTTTATTTAGAGATGGTGTCTCAATGAGTTGCTTAGCACCTGGTGGTTGATGAGGCTGGCTTTGAACTCATGATCCTCCTGTCTCAGCCTCCCAAGCCATTGGGATTTGAGTAAATTTCTTTTTAGTAAAGGGAGTAAAGTTCTTAGGTATTAATGAAGATTTTTAAATGTAAAGATATAGAACAACACCAGTTCAAAATAACTATTAGAAGACAGTAATTATAACCTTCTGATTTTATGCAAAACATAGTATGTTTCTTGGATAATATGTCTTAGGGGTCAATGATTTTTTTTTTTTTTTGAGACTTTTTATTATGGAAGTTATCAAACACAAAAAAGTAGAGATGGTAATAATAATGAATCCCCATGTATCTATCACCCAGCATATAGAGGTTTATGATTTAGGTATACATGAATTGCCTAATAAGCTGTATAAGGTTGGATTTTTCTTGATTTTTAAAGAAAAATGAATATTAGTTTACTTTTTTCCTATGATTAAACAATTTCTTTGGTTTATTTTTTAATTTTTTTTTAGAGAGAATTTTAATATTTATTTTTTAGTTTTCGGTGAACACAACATCTTTGTATGTGGTGCTGAGGATCGAACCCGGGCTGCACGCATGCCAGGCGAGCGCACTACCACTTGAGCCACATCCCCAGCCCTCTTTGGTTTAAATATACTATTCCATTTTAGAAATAGAAGTAAACCAACTGTGGCTACTTTAAGCATTTCATAGTAGTGACATATAGACTATTTTAAACAAATAATGGAAAATCACTTTGTAATTAAATGGTTTTGTTTCTTTTACAGTATTTTTTGGTGTTTTACTGTGAGTCACATGAATAGTAAGGGCGAAGACTGGGTTTCCACTCAGTTCTTTTTAAGTTCAAATTCAAATCATACTAATTATCATTAATACTGTATGATTTAAATTGAAATGTTTACCTACCTCAAAAAGTAGGAGCTAATAACATGTTAAAAATTTTGGAAAATAGACTCTCTTGGATTAGTAAAAGTTAATCTAAACTGTGTGTGTGTGTTTTTTTTAAATTGGATTTTGGAATTCTGAAGTTATTAGAGGCTAAAACAGAAGAGCCCCCAGTGCATACTAGTGAAGCTGCAAAAATGAGCAATTCCCAAGGGGATTGTGAACATTTTGAACACCCACCCTCAGGTAAGATTGAGTTATACTGAATATTCTCTAATACTCTGAATATGTAAACATTGTATAAAGCATATTATCCTCTCATATATTTACCCTCAAAAACCTCAGAGGGAATATTGAATGGCTTCAAAATTTAAAGTTGTTTGTGAATTTAGTTATTTCAGGTAAGAAATACTCAGCTGAAAAGAAAATATAGTCCCCATATTTCTAAGTGAAGTCTAGAACCTAGAGCTGTGAGCAAAACTCTTTGTGAGGGAGCCACCAACATTTGTGCTATGGCTGCAGCATACAAGATATGTTCACATAATTTTGGTATTCTCTTTCTTGTTTACAATTACATGGTGTTGTAAGCAAAAGCCAAACTTGGAAGATACTATTAAATTACCTTCAGAATGAATTAAAGCACAACTAAAAAATGAGGTAAAACAAATTTTCCAGATGTTTAGTCAGAAATTGTGTCTTTGAAATCAAATATAATGAAATTCAGTGTACAACGCATTAGTGTATGACCTTGTAAAATATTTGGCAGATCCACTTTCGATATGTTCTGATTTCTATACTGTAGAAAAAAATAAGTATTTCTTGCATTTCACTATTGTCATGTATGTAAGGAAAAAAAAAAAAAAAGAATGGTGATTTCGATCTTTAAACGGCTCAGGGGAGCCCCAAGGGTTTTAGGCTGACTTGTAATTTGGAAAGATCACCCTGGCTTCATGGGATACTGAACCAGAGGCAGGAGGTAGCTATTGCCACAGACACTGCAAAAGATAGTCCTGCACGTGGTGTGGAGGCAGGTTCTGGAGAAAGCAGGCAAGAGGTTGAGGGCAGCTGAGGTGGCAAATAGGCAAGGCTTGGTCTCTTCTTCCTCAAGAGAAAAAAAAAAAAGTCTATCTAAATTAGAAATTGAACCTTGATCATGAATTCAGTTCATTTTATCATGAATTTCTATGGTATTAAATAAATATTTTTGTCAATTAAAAAAGCCTCTGGGAAGTAGATAATATAATTCCTTATTTTTCATATATATACATACATATATTTTTTTCTTTCTTTTAACAAGAAATTCAAGAAAACTGAGTGACTTGTCCCAGATCATTGAGCAAAAAAGCAAAAAGCTTAGTTAAACTGTGTCTTATCTGTGTCATCTTACTCTAAACCCTATGCTCTTCTACATTTCAGAAAAACTTCTTTAATTCAGATAAGTTTATGTTTACCCATTTTTTTTTTTAACATCAACAGCAACTTAAGTTTTTAAATAAACTTTCTTTGTTGGCATTGTTTTTCGTTCACAGCAAAATTGAGCTGAGGGTACAGAGATTTCTCATACAGCTTCTGCCCCACACATGTATAACCTCTCTATTGTCAACATTCCTCACTTTTTTAGTATACTTTTTTGCAGTTGAAAAATATATACTGACACATCATTATTCCCCAAAGTCCATAGTATACAGGTTCACTCTTGATAATATTATATGTTCTATGAGTTTTGATAAATGTATAATGACATATCTCTATCATCACAGTATCATACAGAGTAGTTTCATTGTTCTGAAAATCCTTTGTGCTCTGCTTATTTCTCTTTCCTCCTATGACCCCTGGTAACTGCTGACATTTTATTATTTCCATAATTTTGCCTTCTCTGGAATGTCACATAGTTGAAAATATGCAGTATGTGTAGTCTTTCCAGATTGCTTTTTTTCACTTGGCAGTATGCATTTAAAGTTCCTCCCATGTCTTTTCATAGTTTGATAGCTCTTTTCCTTCTATCACTGAATAATGTTCCATTGCCTGGAGGTATCATAGTTTGTTTATTCATTCACAGGTAGAAGACCATTTTAGTTGCTTTCAGGTTTTGGCAATTATGAATAAAGCTGCTATAAAGGGCTGTGTAGGTTTTCTTACGTGAATGAAAGTTTTCAGTTCCTTTGGATAAATACAAAGGAGCATGATTGAATTGCATGGTAAGAGTACATTTAATTTTGTAAGAAAACTACCCAACTCTCTTCAAAAGTGGTTGTACTATTTTGCATTCCTACAAGCAGAATGAGAGTTTCATTTGCTCTGTTTCCCTTACCAGCATTTGGTGTTGTCAGTGTTCCAGATTTGGGCCATTCTAATAGGTGTATAATAGTGTCTCATTGTTGATTTATTTGCATTTCCCTGATGACAAGTGATGTGGAGCATCTTTTTTTTTTTTTTCTGTTTTCCTCTTATTATTATTATTATTTTTTGTTGTTGTTGGTGCTGGAGATTGAACACAGGGCCTTGCTAGGCAAATGCTCTATGACTGAGTCATGTCCCCCATGGAGCATCTTTTCACATGCTTATTTTTCATCTGTATATTTGGTGGTGTATCTGTTAAGTTATTTGGCCTATTATTTTTTGAGGGTTTTCATATTTTGAAGTTTTTTTTAAGGGTGCTTTAATAGTCCTTTATCAGACGTACCTTTTACAGATGTTTTCTCCTGGTCTGTTCCTTGTCCTCTCATTTTTTTCATACTGTTTTTTGTTTTTACAGAGCAGAAGTTGGGGTTTCCTCCTCCTTCTTTTTTTTTTTTTCCTCTTTTTCAAGTACTGGGGATTGAATCTAGGTATACTTTACCACTGAGCTACATTCCCAGTTCTTTTTATTTTTATTTTGACACAGGATCTTGAGAGTCTTGCTAAATTGCTGAGACTGGCTTCAAACCTGTGATCCTCTTGCCTCAACCTCCTGAGTCACTGGAATCAGAGCAGAGGTTTTTTAATGATGTTCAGTTAATTATTTCTTTTGTGATTTTGGTATTTTATCTAAAAAGTCATCACCATACCCATGGCATTTAGGTTTTCTCTTCTGTTATCTTCTAGGAATTTTATAGTTTTGAATTTTAAATTTAGGTCTGTGATCCATTTTGAGTTAATCTTTGTGAAGATTGTAAAGTCTGTTTTTAGATTTTGTTCTTTCATATGATGTTTAGTTTTTTCCAGCACTATTTGTTGACAATTCTCTCTTCTTTGTGTTGTCTTTGCTCCTTTATCAAAGATCAGCTAACTATATTTATGTAGATCTATTTTTAGACTCCTTTTTTTATTCTACTGATCTATTTATTTATTTTGTTTTCCCCACCAATACCACACTGTTTTGATTACTGTAGGTTTATAGTAAGTCTTGAAGTTGAGGAGTATCAGTCCTCCTACTTTGGTTTTCAATTTAAGTTGGCTATTCTGGTACTATTGTCTTTCCATATAAACTTGAGAATCAGTTTGTTGATATCCACAAAAATAACTTGCTGGGATTTGATTAGAATTGCATTGAATCTGTGGCTTAAGTTAGGAAGACCTCTCATCTTGACACTATTGAAACTTCCTGTCATGTCATGAACATGGAGTATCTCCATTTATTTTGGTTTTGATTTTTTTTTTTTTTCTTGGTGGTACTAGGGATTGAACTCAGGAGTGTTCTGCCTTTGAGCTGTATCCCCAGCTCTTTTTACTTTTCACTTTGAGACAGGGTCTCATTAATATGCCTAGATTGGCCTCAAATTTGCAATCCTCCTGCCTCAGCCTCCTAAGTAACTGGAATTATAGGCCTGTGTCTCCATGCTCAGACTAATTCTTTAATTTCTTTCATACATGATTTTTCCTTGTATTGAAATCTTGTGCACATTTTGTTAGATTTTATATTTAAACATTTCATATTTGGGATCTAGTTTTAGGGGCATGTGTTTTTAATTTAAATTCTACTTGTTTATTACTGGTATTATGAAAAGTGATTGATTTGTATATGTTTACCTTGTATCCTGTAAGCATAATATAAGGTCTTAAAGAGTTTTCTCACTCTGTTGCCCAGACTGGTCTCAAATTCCTGGGCTCAAGTGACCCTCATGCTATTTCCCAGGTAGCTAAGATTCCAGGCATGTGCCACCACATCTGGGCTTTTTTTTTTTTTTTTTTTAAGATATTCTTTATCAAGTTGAGTGAGATCCTCTCTATTCCTTTTTACTTAGAGGAGTTCTTTTCTTCTTCTTATCATCATCATCATCGTCATCATCAGATACTGGGGATTGATCAAGGGATGCTTTACATCCTTAGTTCTTTTTATTTTGAGATGGAGTCTCATTAAGTTGCTGAGGCTGGTTTCAAACTTGTGATCCTCCTGTCTCAGCCTCCTGAGTAGCTGGGATTATTGGCATGTACCACCTCACCTGGCAGAGTATCCGTTGATTTTTAAGGAAGTATAATCTTAGTTTTTAAAACAAATAGGGGAATTTGAAACAAGGAAGATTATAAAAGTTATTTTTTTGTCTTTCTTCCTAGCATATCTAACCATTTTTCTTTTTTTCATATTCTGCAGTTTAAGTAGAAATAACTTCACTTGAATTATATCTTCAAAACTCCTACTTTTAGAAATTGTCTGTGCTTTGTTTTAATTTGCTGACCCAAATTTGTTTTTATACAGACCTAACTATAAATACTGTTTAATGTTTGCACCTGACATAATTTGAATAAATTTGTTCTGTGGAGTTCCTTATCTGACTAAGTAAGTGAAGCTATAAAAAACTTTATCTCTAGCCACATGTAACTCAGTTATACATAATAATGACACAGAGCAAATGGTGGATGCTTTTAAAAGTAATGACTTCAATTTTCAAAAAAAATATTTTTCAAATGGGCATAGCAAACATCAGGGAATCAGTTAATGCAAAGTGATGGAAATCCATTAAGAAGACCTAATTTTGGCTGGGCACAAGTGATGCACTCCTATAATCCCAGGAACTTGGGAGGATCAGAAGTTCAAGGCTAGCCTCCGCAACTTAGTGAGACCCTGTCTCAAAATAAAAAATAAAAATGGCTGGGGATGTAGTTTAGTGTTAAAGCACTCCTGAGTTCAGTCCCCAGTACCTTAAAAAAAAAAAAAAAAAAACAAACCTAAATTTGGAAGCATCAAGAAGGTGACCTGCTTTCTTATTCCTCTTCTCATGTTTTTCCTTTATTCCAGCTAGAAATAGAGAGTATCTCTTCTCAAACTGATGCAGAGTTGCCAGAGATGAATTGTTTTTTCTTGAGGCTTTCTGATCCTCCTTTCTTAAAAATCAGAGAAGCTAAGTATTTTGGCTTCAAGTACTTTCCTCTCTGATTGAGATTATACAATATGTTCATCACTAACAAACTGAAGGCAAGAACTGTCTACCCTAAGTACATGAACTGAATATAAATGCATATATATTCCCTGCTTCTGAGTTAGAAAGTGAACCATCCCTTATCTAGCTCTGTGGTTCCATATTTTGGGGGCGAAGTCTACCTCTTTTTATTAATGGCTAATCACCATTAGTAAAAAAGACTTTTAACTCTATCTGCATATTATCAATAACTTATTTAAACTCATTAATTTCTGTCATAGTTAGCTCTTTCATGGAGACTTACTTTACCATTCAAAGGCCTGTAGAGCTTTTCTTACTTCAAACTCCCTGGCACTGAAGTCATTTTACTCACTCTATGCTAGGGTTGTGGTTCTTTGTCAAGTTTCTTGCATAGACAAAGTTCCTTTTCTGGTTTTCTACATTGGCAAGATTATTAATCATTTAGAGACATAGGTACCATGTTTCTCCATCATGTTTTTAGTTCTTTGCATCGTTTTAATATCTTTGTTTGTCTCATTCTACTTTGTTTTGAAGCCCATGTACTTAGACTGAAAATGTTTTATCTTTCTTTGAAAAGCATTACCTAATCTTTTTTTTTTGGGGGGGGGTGGTACCGGGGATTGAACTTAGGGGCTCTTGCCCACTGAGCCACATCCCCAGCCCTATTTTGTATTTTTATTTAGAGACAGGGTCTCACTGAGTTGCTTACTGTCTTGCTTTTTGCTGAGGCTGGCTTTGAACTGGCAATCCTCCTGCCCTCAGCCTCCTGAGCCGCTGGAATTTATAGGCATGTGCCACCACACCTGGCAACATTACCTAATCTTATAATAAAAAATGGTTCAAATTTAGGAAAAAGAAAAAAAGAAGACTCAGAGGAGCAATTAGAATGTTAATGATGTCTCTTGGAACAGTCAGCAAATACCTAAAAGTATTAAGTACTTAAATATGCTTCCAGTTTCTGCTTGTTTTAGAATCTTTACATTTTTCTTAATGCATTTATAGGCTTATAGTTATCTTCACTATGTAATTACAAAGTTATTGATAATACTGGTAGCTACTGTTGTAAAGTAAAAAATCCTTTAGCTTTACAGTAATTTTCTTAAAAAAATTTTTTTTAAGTTGTAGATGAACACAATACCTTTATTTTATGTATTGATTTTTACGTGGTGCTGAGGATCGAACCCATTGCCTTACACTTGCTAAGCAAGTGCTCCATCACTGAGCCACAACCCCAGCCCCTATAGTAATTTTCTATAAATGTACAGTTACTTATTTTACCTTCAAGAAAAAATTGGAAGCCAATTACATATTAAAGAATTTGTGTACTATTTATTTGGATTATGTAGCACCCTTTTATTATATCATAAAGTGGTTCTAATCTTTTAAACAAGGGTTATCTTTTTGTAGCTATAGTACTGTACAAACAGTAGGAGCTTGGCTGGGCGCAGTGGTACATGCCTGTAATCCTATCGACTTGGGAGGCTAAGGCAGGAGGATCGAGTTCAAAGCCAGCCTCAGCAAAAGCGAGGCGCTAAGCAACACAGTGAGACCCTGTCTCTAAATAAAATACAAAATAGGGCTAGGGATGTGGCTCAGTGGTCGAGCGCCCCTGTGTTCAATTCCTGCTACCCCCGCCACTCCCAAAAAAACCTCTAAAAATCAGTAGGAGCTTGTTATTTGTTGAAATGTCATTATTCATAATAGAAATTGTAGTCCAAGTTTCTTAAGGATGAACAGAGACCATGTTTATTATTCTCACCAAATGCTTGGTATAGTGTAGACAATGAATACATGTTGGTTGAATAAATATGAAGAAAAATCAAGTATTATTGTAACCTCATTTTGGTGACTCTACCTTAGTTCTTAACATTTCTCTAATATTTCTAACTGGTATCATTGTCTAATTGCTGCCAGAAGTTAAAGTGCATTTTGCTAATCCGTCAGTGCAACCTTTGGCAAGAAAAGTGGAAATGATGCCTGAAACTTCCTCCCTCCCACAAAAAAGCCTGAAGATTCCTGGCTTAGAACATGCAAACATTGAAGGACCAATAGCAGTAAGTAAAAGACTACATCATTTTTTAAAAAAAAATATTTTTTAGACATGGATGGACCTTTGTTTTATTCATTTATTTATATGTGGTGCTGAGAATCGAACCTCATACATGTGCCTCATACATGCTAGGCAAGCGTTTTACCACTTGAGCCACAACTCCAGCCCCACTATATCAGTTTTTAACAACTTTGTGTTAAATGACAAAGTACTAGGAACAATGTAAACAGCCACACATAAGACTTTTCTTGTGATCTTGAATTCAAACTTCTAATTGAATCTAATTAAGTATTGTTGCCACTTACTATGTGGATGTGAAATTTATATAGTTTCTTCTGTTATTTGACCCAGAACTTGTCAGCTCTTGGAACAGAAGAGCTTCGGCAACGAGAGCACTATCTCAAGCAGAAGAGAGACAAGTTGATGTCCATGAGAAAGGATATAAGGACTAAGCAGGTCCAAAATACAGAGCAAAAAGGAAAGCCTGCAGGGGAGGTAGAGGTATGGTTAGCCTTAGTATGCTTAAATTTCATATCTAGAGGTAGAATTCTCAAAATCAGATTATGTGCAAAAGAGCCTCTAATGAATTTTGCTTATAGATTAATTCATATTAACCACCCTGCTAGTGCAGCAGTGGCTACATCTTTTCTAGGAAGAGTGAGTTGTGATGATTTTGTGAGGTAGAAATAACAGCAGTTTCTTTTTTTTTTTTTTTACTTGCCTTGCTCTGAGTTCATAAGGGGTCAGTGATCTGTCTTACCTAAGCCATCTGAAATGTTTGAAATGTCCTGTCAATATCTGAGCCACCACCTCTAAGAGACTTATTTAAGAGATTTTTACAAAAAGATTTAAGGAAACTACTTTATTGTCCACCCCCCGCCCCGCAAAGTCCTTAGTCTTTTTTTTTTTTTGAGGCTATATGTTGGGAATTTTAGACAAATACAAATGAACCCATTTTATATTGTAGCCAATTTTTTCTTTTCTTTTCTCTTTTCTTTTTTTCTTCTTTTTTAAGGAAATGACAGAGAAACCAGAAATGACAGCAGAGGAGAAACAAACACTACTAAAGAGGCGATTGCTTGCAGAGAAACTTAAAGAAGAAGTTATTAATAAGTAATAATTAAAAATTAGCAAAAGTCCAAATTTTCTTAAAAATAAATTATTAATCCTTAAACCAAGACTGTTAGTTTTAAGTAAATACTTGCTTTTCTAAATGTAAATATAAGCTCATCATAGTAAACATTTGAAGTGAAGGATAGTGCATAAGGCAGCTACTTGTACTAATTAATTTAATACAAATTTTGGGGTAATGTTTTCTCTTAGAGGGTATAGAAACTAGTTGAAAGTGCGTTCATTCATTCTGACTTAGACACCTACAAGTAGGTTAAAGGGATCTGTTTTCCTGGAGTGTGTGAAGAATGCCCAAAGAGCAAAGTGTTAGAAAGGAAGAGTGCAAGCTGGGTGACACACACCTGTAATACCAGCTTCTTGGGAGGCTCAGGCAGGATAATTGTTAGTTTGAGGCCAGCCTAGGCAACTAAGCTAGACCCTGTCTCAAAAATAAAAAAGGGTGGGGATGAAGCTCAGTGCCAGAGCACCCCTGGGTTCAATCTCTAGTAGCACCAAAGATTTTTAAAAATAATAGTTTAAAAAATTAAAAAGGAATAGTGAAGAGTGCCATAAGGCAAGTTGGTTAAACTTCCTTGAGCAAGTAATGTTTAAGCTGATTGGAAGGGTTTAAGGGTTTAAGCTGATTGGAGGGAAGGAATAACTCAGGTCCTGCAGCAGGAAAAAAAATAAAGCACACACTGAAGAATTGGAATATATATAGAATGAGTGGAGAGGGTTAGCATATGAAATTAGAAATAGGTGGGGGATTATTCATATTATGTAGGGCCTTGAAGGGAATGTAAGGATTTTAATTTATAATATGGAGCAATGGGAGGTTACATTATCAAAATTATTTTCATTTTTTAAAGATGCATGGTTGTTATATGTAAACTAGTGGTTGGGCTAAAATAGTTATGGGTTTACCTGGTGGGAAGCAATCCAATGAAAAGTGAAGATATCTTGGGCAGTCTTAAGGCGAACTGAATATTTACCATGTACACTTGAATAAGCAGGACAACTAGGACTTAGAAAATAAAGGTGATGAATGTTAATACTCAGCCACACTTTGTTGAAAAGCTACTATGAAAACAAAGGGAACAACTGCCTGAGCTTGTTGAGGGAAGTGCTACCACCTGGTGTAGGTTTTTTAAAAAAAGACCCTAGAAAAGTTTTCTGTAGTCTGTTAAAAGAAATATAGATATCTGTATGTTTTTTGTGGTACTAGGGATCAAACTCAGGAGCACTTTACCAGTGACCCATAATCCCAACCCTTTTTGTATTTGAGACAAGGTTTCATTAAGTTGGTGGGGCTGGCCTTGAACTTGTGATCCTCCTGTCTCAGCCTCCTGAGTTGCTGGGACTGCAGATGTGTACTACTATGCCCAGCTTTGGTATCCCTTTTAAGTTTCCAATTACAGTTGGGTGATATTAAAAAAAAAAAAAAAAAAGTAATGCTCATTTTATTTATTGAGTTTAAACTCCAAACTGCAAAAAAGTATTCTACATTGGTTAACATTTTTTAATTTAAAAATACTTTTTTAGTTGGACACAATATCTTTATTTACTTTTTATGTGGTGCTGAGGATTGAACCCAGTGCCTCACACGTGAGGCGGGAGCTCTACCAATGAGCTACAGCCCCAGCCCTACATTTTTATCACTAGATGGATGAAGAAACCTAGTGCCTAAAACAGAATGATTTCATGTAATTTTTAATTAAAAATAGCTTTTATATTCACTACATTTACAGATATTTTAAGAGGACCTAAGGTATACAAATGTGGGCTCTGGTTTGCTTCAATGAGTGAAAATAAGGATCTGCCTGAGGGCAGTTATTTAAGATGGCAGTGAATGTGGACTCCTATAGTTGAGCTATCAAGGTATGTTTTATTTTCATGTTGATAAGATATGTACCGTGAAAACTCATCCTGTATTTCAAGAAAACATTCACATTTCTGCTATAAAGTTTCCATGATGAAGTTGATTTAAAAGTTTGAGACGCAAGTCAGTTTTTTAAAAAGGAAAATTGAAGTATTCATAAGATACAAAGATAACTTCCTACTGGAACTTAAAAAATTGAGTCAAGAATAAATAGGGTAATATATTAGGTTTGGGCTGCTTTTAGATTATAAGAAGGAATTTAATAAAAACTAAGAAGCTTGATAAAACTTGCTTGAAAGAGTGTTCATATGATCTTGGTTGAAAATAACCTCACTGTGTTATGAAATTGTAAGGTTTTTATTGTATGTATACCTGTAATCAAAGAAGTAAGAATAGCTTTTTGCTGTGATCTTTGGTACTGAGATTCTACTTGCCCAAGGCTCACTTTCTATAAGTAATCAGTGATGTTAAAAGTGCAGTTGACCGTTATTGGTTTAGGGCTTTCATTCAGACTGTTGCATGATCTAGTGGCTTATAATAAATTTATGGATGATAATTTTATTGGCTTTTAAAAGATAATTTAAAATGGAGTTAATTTATATTTACCATAAAACAAACACAAGCATCAATCATGGAATTACAGGGTCACATTTTAATTCCTGAATTTTACAGTTCAGCATTAATATCACCACATGTATACAAATGGTGTAAAACAAGTACAGTGGTATTTTTAATACAAAATAAACATCTGTTTTATGGAAAAACTATACTTCATATCTACACAGACAGCCCATCTTTTCCAAACAATAGCCAAAATTAAAATTAACTACAAAATCTCCAAAACAGGGGAAACTGCTTCAGTTTAAGCTATTCCAGGAAAAAAATGGACCCATTAACACATTACAAAGGTGATCTAAAGACTGTAGCTGGAATTACTATTTTTAGATTTTTTTTTTTCCCAATGCATTAAATTGTAGTTTGGGGACATTTTTCTCATCTCAGCATGATCTCAGATCATAGATGAGCAAACTAACATTAAAATATTTACAGTTAACTGCTGTTCTAAAAATAAAACATTGTAACTGTTTGCCTCAATTTGTTATTTTAAATTCCTTTAGGTACATGGAATGTGCTTTTAGTCTTTTAAAAAAGCAGCTGTTTGTATTACATACACCCTTGTCTGCTTGTGGGAAAGTTTCCTGTACTGCATGTGACTTGACACTTAACTCCTTGGATCAAAATGGCTTCTAGATATTAAATACTACAATTCAGCACTTTTTTTTTAAATTAGTCTTTATAAATTATGCTTTAATACTTGCCTGCAGCTCTGAAGATAAAACACTTTTTACTAACAAAGCAAAAAGGGACTTCAGAATTTATCTTCTACAAAGGATTGTACTGGTAGGTTACTGAAAAACATTCTGTTCTGTCCATTTCCAAGATTCTGAAGAGGATCATTATGGAACACTAACAAACTGTTTTCTTGGCTACTATTATCTCAAAAGTGCTGATTTAAAAATTTTATTAACAAAACTATCCATTTTGAATGCAGCTTATTTTTGTCAAAATACATACTGAAAACTCTTGGTGTAGAAAATTTAACATGTGCTGTAATACAGGGTGTATTTCCCTCCAACTACTCAAAAGGTTGAATTTCTGTGAAGTCTTCAAAGAAATGGTCCCAAAAGCTTGACTACTACTACTTCTTCTTTTTTTTTTTTTTTGATAGTTCTATTTGTTTTCCATAAATTTTTTTTTTTTTTTTTAAAAAGAGGCAACTGATTAAAACAATAACATGGCCAGCACCATTATACAAGTAATGTTATTGGGTTCGCAACTGAAGTTTTGTAACGTTTTTCTAGACTGGATACCCCCCAGAGCAACCCTGCATTAATATAATTTTACCAACCTTTTCCCTCCCCCAAACCTGAGACTTTCCTTGCTGAGAAACTATCTCCCAGGTTCTGGTAACTAGCCTTTTTTTTTTTTTAAATTAAAAAAAAAAAATTTTTTTTTTCCATTTTTTACAGCCTGAAAAGGCAAACCCCTTAATTACTGGCAAGCAATCAAGTTCCTGGGAATCCTCGTTTTTTTTTTTTTTTTCTTTTTTCTTTTTTTTACAGAACTAAACTCTCCTAGATGATATACTGAGGATCTTCTGCTACTCCTTGTATATTTATAAGTTCAAGTGAGAAAGCTTTCTGATTCAGATTTTTCCACTCATTGAACAGTTGCAGCATTTTAGTAAGAAGACCACATGTTGGGAGTCCCCCAGTAAATATTTTATGAGCCAAGACGAGGTCTTTTCCTGGGGGATGTTTCTTCTTCTTCATCTTCCTCTTCATCATCTGGATAATCCACTAAGCCAACCAAACTTCCCTATTGAAGAATTAAAAAAATGTTTTAAACAGGTAACTTAAAAAAAAAAAAAAAACCTTATTGGTACAATTATTAGTACAAATGTTTTCACTAAAAGATATTAGAAACTATTTTTCTAAATCAGACATATCTGATATTAACACATTGGAATTTAAGAAAGGAACTGCCTAAAATCATGAACATTTACTGAGTACTAATTGGTAGCATACTCAGTAATCCTCAGCTTTTCTACTATTTCTTAGATTTTTAAGAACTCAATTCAGTAAAACTTCACTGTGGGGAAATGAAGTCTGTAGTCTGTTCATGTGTGTATTTTATTACTTAGTACACATTGTTTTCATTCTGCTTTTGAAGAATAGTTTAAAAGGCTGAAGACATCACTAACCAGTAACATCACCTGGTTACTAAAAGCTAATAACTGAAAATAAGGATGAGGCAATTCAAGGTTTTGACCTTTTATGAACAACGGACTCCTTTTTAAAGTCCAATTGAAGCTCTGTACTCTCCAGAAAATTGTAGCAGTCCACAGAATTGCAATTACTTTGAACCAATTCCATGAAACTTAGCCCTCTTAACTGTAAACATTATTTAGTTCAAACCCTTCAGACCTGTAGTGGATGAACAAATACAGCTAAAGTATAACTCATTCTTCATACCTAAGAATATAGGCATCTGGTGTTAACATTTTATCAGAACCTAAGTAAAACATTACTGTTCATCAAAAAAGGGCTTTGAGCACCTAGAATAGTTATTAGAAAGTCTGTGAACTAAATATATTTGTGAGAATCCTACTTCTTCTCAGCAAAGTCA